TGGCACGTGTGAGGCGCTGGGTTCGATCCACATACAAATTAATAGCAAATAAAGATACAATAATAACGGAGTGAGCACTAGTAAGCGCAGAGCTGGGAACCCCAACGACTCTGGTCCTGCGTGGACCCACGTGGACGCCCCAGCCCCATGCGTCCTAGCAAGACCCCCAGGAGCCCCGCACGCGCCTCCAAGGCTGAGGAGCGCGGTGGAGGCCTTGAGTCCCGGGGCCTGCCTTCAGACCCCGCTCTGCCTTGCGCCAGCTGCTTACCTTGGGCAGGTGACTCTGGGGCGCAGTTTCCTCCTGTAGAAAAACGGGGTTAATGAGCCAGGCGCCGTGGGGCACGCCTGCAATCCCAGCCTGGCCAGTAGAGCGAGACCCTCAGCAACTTAGCGAGACCCTGTCTCAATAAATAAGATAAATAAATATAATATAAAGGACTGGGGATGTGCCCCTGCATTCGGTCGCCAGTGTGCACCCCCCACACACACCAAAATGCGAATCCTAGTAGCCTTTAGGGAGACCTAACGTGTTGCTGAGACCTCACCGTGTAGTAGCCATTGATAAGCTGTGGAGCCCAGCTGGCTAGGTCGCCTTCTCTGAGTGGGTGGGGCTTAAAGGCAATTTAATGAGAACCTCTATTAACTACTTACTGTGGGTAATCCTTGCTAAATGCTTTACAAGGTTATTCGCTGGGTGCTCCATCAACAGCTCTGGGAGGGAGGCAGGCTCTCATTATCCCCGTTTTTGGATGAGGAAATGGGGGCCGGGAGAGATGAAGTCATTGTCCCGGGTTCCCACGGCTGGTAGGTGGCTTCCCGGGGATTTGGCTTTATCTTTCAGACCCACCATGGGACACTGCCTCCTCTTTATTCCGTCCCTGGGGATAAAGGTAGTGAAAGAACTGGAGAAGGGAGTTAACCTGGATCTGAATGAAGATGGGGGCCCCTGGAGAAAGAGCCATGGGAAATGGGGGAGGAAAAGGAGGAGGAGGGAGAGGGAGGGGGACGGGTGTGAACGGGAGCTGCCTCACACCCAGCTGTTACTGGAACTTTTCTCCCCATTTTGTGGGTGGGGTGACAGAGGCTCAGAGAAGTTAAGTACCTTTCTGGGAATCCCACAGCCAGCAGAGAGTACTCACGGAGGTGCCTTGGAACTCTCGTTTCTGTCCCCGGTGCTCAGGCCGCGCCTGGCATCCGGGCTGGGGCCTGGGCCTGAGTTTCTTCCAGTCCCTCCCAGATTCTCCCCTAATCCTTGCTATGTTGTCCTGGCTCAAGATCAAAGGTCCGAGAGAAAGATGAGCTGGTGCCGGGCCAGGCCTCGGGCAGGGGAGGCCACCCAGGGGACAGGTGAAGGGCTCACCTGGCAGGTGAGGAGCCAGGTGTGCCGTGAGCCTCAGATGGAGCCGTGGACTTCGCGATTTCAGGGCCAGCTTCCCAACCCCTGGATCTCACAGGATTCCATGCAGATGGGGAGCCCGGCCCCTCGTTCCCAAGCCGGGAGGTCACGGCTCAGCGTCCCTCAGGTTCCCCAGCTGCTCCAGCACATGGTGGCACCTGGAGGCTGTCGATACACACTTGTTGTCTTATGGTTCCTGGGTCAGTTTCCAACTCGGGTCTCAGGGCCAGCATCCGAGCGTCGGCTGGGCCTCCTCCCTCTCCCTGGGGGACAGTCTGCCGCCTGGTGGTTTTCAGTTCCCGAGGGTGACCCCTTCTTTAGCACGGATCCCCGGCCTGCAGCCTCAGCGCCGGCAGTACCGCCTGTCCGTGACGCCCTCCTTGGTCACGGCTGGGGACGGCTCTCTGCTTTTGAAGGTTCCTGGGATTACACTGGGCTCTCTCGGATAATCCAGGGTCCACTCTTCTCAAGAACCTCGCCTTTCACCACATTGGCAAAGCTCCTCTTGCCCACTCACGGATCCCAGGGCTTAGGCCACGGGTGGGCCACTTCTCCGCCTAGGATGGAGAGGTCTGGCAATCTGCCAGCATCACACAGCCCCGAAGTAGCAGAGCCGGGAGTTGAGCCCCCGCCTCCCACCTCTGCTGCCTGGTTCTACTTCTGTTGGCTGGGGAAGGGCTCACTCAAAGGCCGCAGGAAGCTTCTGAATTAATGCTGTGTTTACAAACTGAGGTGTCTCAGAAGGTGCTCAATAGGTAAGACCAGTTAGGGGACAGGAAGGCCAAAGGCCCGCTGCGGGAGTCTGACCACCCAAGAGTTGCTGTTGCCCGTGGAATGTCTGTCCATCCACCAGGGCTGGCCAAAAGACAGGAACTTGCTTATGAAGGACAAGTGGCCCCTTGCGGATGCAAAAGGGTGGCCACTGGCTGGCCGGGGCCCCTTGGCTAGTGTCATCCGTTGGAGGTGGTTTAAATAGTCCTGCACACCTACCCAGCAGTCTCCGGGCTTCATCCCAGATTTGCATTTGGGGATAGAACCTTGACATGAGCAAAAACCAAGAGAGAGGTGTCAGGGCCAGGGGGCTGATGGACAAGTAGGTCCCTTCCTTGATTCTGGCAATTTACTCTGGTAACACGCAGGGTCATGAAACCCTTATCAAAGCAGTCCCTGTGTTTATTATGGGGTGTAGTTGAAACAGTTTGTATTTGTTAGGATACTTCTCAGCAACTGCAAGTTACAGAAAACCCAACTCAACTAATCAGAGGAACTTACTGATTGAGGTTACTGCAAAGCCCTAGGCTGACCTTCAGGTACAGCTTGATCCAGTCGCTCCTCCATGCTCCGTTTTGCAGCCTTAATATTTGCTCCATTTTCAGTCAGATTTTCCTCTTGGGTTCCTAAGATGGCCCCAAGAAGCTTCTAGAACTCTGTTTGTAGATTCAAATGCAGGAAAAAAGAAAAAAGTTCACCTTCCTGGTGGCTCAAAAAAATTCTGGAATGGGGTCTTGTTGGCCCCACTTAGCCTGTCTCCTGCCTTGGGTCATCTGTCCACTTCCTGACTGGGCCTGGAGATACAGTACGTGTGGACACCATGACTTGGGGACACACACACACACACACACACACACAGAAATTAAGGAAAAGAGAAAATGAAGGCCAAGTGGGGTACAGCCAGGACAAATTAGCACCTAGAATTTAATAGTACAGACTTTCACCATGCTTCAGCTCCTCTGAGCCTCAGTTTCCTCATCTGTAGATGAGAGTACTAATCCCAGTGACACGAAATTAAATGCGAGGAGGCTTTTAGAAGTGTGTGTAGACAGAAAGCAGTGGCCACTCGATCACTCCACTTATTAGGTGCCTACTGTGTGCCAGGCCCCCTACTGGGGATCTAACAACAGGCAAGATGGATCTGATCCCTGCTCCAAAGGGTCCAGAGATTCTCCAGCACAAGAAATGATTGTCACTATGTTTGAAAGATGCGATGCCAGAGGGCCGCCCTGATGTCACGGGTGGGTAGTGGCATTTCCCGGCTGCACAGAGGAGGAGAGGGCATGGAGCCCGGCATCTCCCAGCTCCTGCCCACCGTAGCGGCCTCCTGTGGCGTGCTCACGAGTGGCCCCTGATGTTGTGCCTCCTGGCTCCGGCAGCAGACAGGCAGGCCCCTCCCGAGTCACTGCTGGGGACTGGAGCGTTCATCCCTCTCTGGCTCTACTTTCCCGCCAGCTGCCCAGAGCCAGGCGGGGCCTCGGGCCTGGGGCATGATTTTGTGTCCTGAGAAGAAGCCCCGGGGCGGGGAGGCCGCTCTGCGTGTGGCTGTCACCTGGGTGCAGAGGACCTCGGGGGTCTGTGCGGCCGGTCATGTCGCTGGACAGGGTCAGGCCTTTCCTGAGGAGACTGGCTCCACTCTTCTTGGCCAGTCACTGCCGTCCAGTCCCCTCTGCCTCCTGGAGGGCCTGTGTCCCTCACCGTGGACAGGGGGCCCTTGCCCAGCCCCTGGTCTTCCGAGTCTGTGGATTCAGCCCCACGTGACTGCAGCCATCTTGAGTCGTCACGGCCGGGATGGCGCCCAAGGGCCCCTGGCTGATTTTTCCCGTTTGTTTCTAACAAACCTGAAGTAGACAAAGCCTTCGAGTCCTGTGCAGGGCTTCACAGCTGGACTTGGCTCCGGAGTGTGCCTGGCTCTTTGGTACCATCTTGAGATCAGCCAGGTCCATCCTGGATGTCACTCTTACCCCAACCTGTAGGCACATGGCGCTCGGTGGGATCCTGACACCTTGGGGCCAGTCCTCCTGTGGCTGAGCAATGCTGTGAACGTCAGTAGAACCACGCGGGTGAAATGGGAAAGGGCAGCACACTGCACAGGGCAGGGTGGCCTCAAGGTCAGGGTGGGGACTGTCTGGGTTCAATCCAGGTCCCCGTTTACTAGCCTCATGACCTCAGCGTCCGTGAGCCGGGCCTCACTTTCATCACCTGCACAATGGGAAGAACGCCAGAAGCTACCAGAGCTCCCCACCTCTGTCCGAGCCTCGGTGTGAGCACCGTATGTTCTAGCCACAAAGACAGAAGAGGGGCTTCCGTCGACATCCCCCGAGGTCTCGGGTCTCAGATGAGGTGACAGCAGCAGGAACTCCCAGCGGCATCGTGGGCTCCCGACCCGGGGACACTGGGCCAGGGCGGCCGAGACCCCGCAGCCGGGAACCAGGCAGGGACACCGATTCCTAAAGAGCCACACTGTGATGTCATTAACTGGAACTTAAATACCACTGGGAGAGAAGGAAGGGGTGGGGAGGCAGAAGGGGACCCCTAAACTGCTGGGCCCCTAAACTATCTTGATATGTTCAAAGGCAACAAACCCTCACCACCTGAGATTATCCCAGGCGGATGGAGGTTGCCCGCGGCCCGCTCAGGTCCCGCCACAGGGAGCGAGGAACCTGAGAACAAGCCGCGTTGGATTGCAGGAAAACAACACCTGCTGGCGCGAGTGTGTGCACCGGGCAACCCGCGCCTCGCGCACTCGAATACAGTCACGTGCGGCAATGACCACATCCGGACAGCGCTGGGCTCCCCGAAGATTGTATTTCCCGGGGGTGCCGAAGCCGTCTCAGTTTTGGTTCGGTACGTGCTGTGATTGAAGTTCACACGATGATGACATCGCCCAACCTTGCATTTCTTAAAACACATCCGTGACTGTGCACATCCTCCCGACTGGGTATTGACCTACGAGACGCCATGTACCCAGAAAATCAAGGGAGAGACGGCGGATGTTAACAGGGTCCCTCCCTCTTGGGCCGCCCTGGTTGGCACACTGGTTTGGCTGCTGTCATGAATATCAAAAAAGCAATGGCCTTGACAAAAGAAGAGAGAGGAAGGGTGGATGTGTGCCACTGAGGATTACTGAAGAGACTGACAGACGCACTGGGGCCCAGGCTCCTTCGCCTCATGGCTCCACCCTTCTCATCATTGCCTTCAACTCATGATCCACAGAGGCTGCCCCGGGCCCTTTATCACATCTGCATCCCCACGAATGAGAAGGGAGAAAGGGGGAAAGGAGGGTAGGCTTCTTTATAATTGTTATTTGGCATTGGAAATTTAACCCAGGGGAGCCATTCCACTGAGCAACACCCCAGTCCTTTTTTTATTTTAATTTTCAGACAGTCTTGCTAGGTTGCTGAGGCTGGTCTTTAACTTTTGATTCTCTTGACTCAGCCTCCTGAGTTGCTGGGATTATGGGCGTGCAACATCTCCCTGGACTTTATTGTAATTTTTTAATTTTTATTTTTTTTAGGTGGACACAATATCTTCATTTTATTTTTATGCGGTGCCGAGGGTCAAACCCAGGGCCTCACACAGGCTGGGCAAGCGCTGTACACTGAGCCACCACCCCAGCCCTTGAATGTGACTTTTAAGCAAAACACCCAGCAGGTATGGCAGCTCAGGGGACGATGACGTCAGCGAGCAGGCTCCTGACAGAGCTGGCTCTTCTCTTGCCCGCGTCCTCCTCCACTCTTCCCGGCCAGCCTGAGAGACGCACTGCTGTCCCCGACTTCCAGATGAGGAAACCGAGGCTCAGGTGTGACTTGCTCCATGCATCCAGCTTGTAAAGACAAACAGGCACACAGACCTGTCACCTGCTGGGCAGGAGCCCGCAGCTCGGGGGTCACCCCTGATGGACACGCTTTGCGAACTGCAGAGTGCCGGCCACCTCTGGGGTGTGGCATCTCTGGTGATTCCTCTGATAGCGATGATCACAACGGCCACCTCTGGGCCACCACCGGTACCTGCCCTGCACAAACGTGGTCACTCACTTCTGGCCAGCTCCACGAGGTGACGAGGCTGTTGCTCTCTGTGCTTTGTAGATGAGGTGACAGAGGGGACGCGGTCCCATGGCCGGAGGCAGCAGCGGGGCCACTCAGGCCTCTGTGAGTCTAAGGTTGTCTCTTGTGAGCGCCGGAGGGGGACGCGGCCCTCAAGCTCTGGCCTCGGGCCCTTCTTCCCTTCCATTAGACACGGGCAGGTCCACCAGGGCTGGCCCGAGTCCAGGACAGGGGCTGGAGGAGTCCTGGTGGCAGAGGCCAGGCCTGCCTGGCAGGAGGCCCCTCTGAGGTGGCCGCTCAGCCACCCCCACTCCACAGAGGCCCTGGGAGAGAAGGGACAGTGGCGGGGAGGGCGGGGAGGGGAGGAGCTGGAGCAGGCGGTGCTCGGAGGCCAGAGGCCAGGCTGGGCCAAGCTGCCCACCTCCCTGCCCCGTCTCGGGCCTCGGGACCCGCCTGTGAGTAACTGCCCGGTGGCTACGGCTGGTCACGGGACCATGACGGGCCTCGTGAGGAAGCCACCCCGGCCCTGGTGGGGACCGGGTGACTCAGCAGCTGCCCAGCAGGGTTGTGCCCTAGGCTGGCTGCACCGGCTGAATGGCCCCGGGTCACTCCTCAGCCCGTGACCCCTGAGAGCCTCCCCGGGCCCACCCTCGGCCTGCAGAAGCTGCCACCTCGTGACCTGCTCCCCCGGTTCCCCTGAGCCTCTGCCACCCGCACCTCACCATGCTGGCCAGGTGCAGGGGTGGGGACACAGCTGGACTCAGCATCCCCCATGAGAGCAGCTCCCTCCGGGCTGTCCGGGGGCAACCGACGGGACAAGTGACAGCTGCTACAGTCCCCTGCTCTGTGTGGACCTGCTAAGTGACCTTCCCCCCCACAGTGGTCAGTGAGGCCTTGTCCCCTGCCCGGGGGCTGGGTTGTCTGGGATTGAAGCCAGACGCTGCCCTCCAGCGAGCTGGGCCTGTTTCGCACACATTTTTAGGACCCAGTTTTGGGCTCCGGGCCTGGCACATAGTAGGTGTTCAATACATATCTGTGGGCTCAGTGGGTGCCTGGATGGTGGGATAATGCCTCACGGTGGTCTGGCAGGGCAGCGGAGTGACCTTGAACTGGGGGGTTCAGACTCCTGCCCACGGCCTCAGGACGAGTTCAGGCCAGCCTCTGTGAGGGGACTCGGAACCTGCCCCCATGTTGCTGGGTGGTCCCCATCACCTCACGCCAGCTCCCCACCACGGGGCTACGTCCCCATCCCAGAGCTCAGAACCTTAACGTCTCCGCCTCCAGCCCCCGAGGAGTGGGCCTGTGGGCAGCGGAACAGGGCAGTAGGGTCCAGGAGCCACACGCTGAGTCTGGGTGCAGTGTCGAGGGGTGGCAGTGGGGTGGCCTGGGACAATCTGGGTGTGACAAGAACCGGGGAGGCAGGGCCCACCATCTTCTGGGGCAGGTGGAGGTCGCTAAGCGGTTCTGGTTTCCTGCAGGTTTAGGTCTCCAGCACCCAGCAGGGTTGAGACGAGGCTCGCGGTTCAGGGCAGTGTGGAGGGGGCTCCAGTCCCCCAGGCCCTCGGGCACCTGGTCTCTCTCCAGCCCAAGTGACTCCACCCCGCGCCTCCGGCCTCTGGGCACCTGCCCCACTGATCCTCCTTCTGGAAAGCCCCTACCTCCTGACCACCTGGAAAGAGCCCTAGGGCTGGTCATCAGGCGCCTCCTCTGTGAGGTCCTCCTCTGTCTGTCCGCATCCTGTCCACACCGCCCGCTGTCCACACCAGCAAACCCATTTGCATAGCTGGCGGTGAGACCTGGGCAAGCTCGTCCACCTCTCTGTGCTTGCTTCTCTGCGAAGCAGGGGCAGCACCGTGACCTGCCTAGGACGGGCTGACACTTGCAAGGCATTTACAAGAATGTCTGGCATGGAGTAAGTAAGCAGTGAATGTCACCATTATTAAAATAATGACTCTTACCTCATGGGCTGTCATGAGGATTAGCCGTCGAGTGCTTAATACCATCCGGCATCACGAGCGCCTTGAGAAAGGGGAGCTTCCTCCTCCGCCTTCGCCACCCCCAGTCACCTCCAGTCCCACCGTCTCCACCACCGAGTTCCCCGAGGACCTCCACCATCCCCATCCCCAGCACCCCGTCCCGAGCACCCCCATCCCCAGCACCCCGTCCCCACCATCTCATCCCCACCATCTCCATCCCCATCCCCACCATCCCTGTTCCTACCACCCCACTGTCTCTGCATCCCCACCAAACCCACCATGGCCGTCTCCACCATGCCCACCACCCCACCATCACCACCATCTCATGGCCCATCTGCCTCTCCCAGACAGTGAGCCCCGAGGCAGAGCTGTGCCTTGGTCATCTTTGATCTCAGTGCACACAGTAGGTGCTCAGCAGGTGTTTCTTGGGAAGGAAGGAAGCAGTGCGCAGTGTGGCGGGGGTGGGGGGGGAATGAGAGGGAGGGCTAGCTCTGTGCGCCCTGGTGGCCGGAGGGTGGGGGGTGGCTCCAGGCTGGCACTAACCTGGGAACAGCCGGGACCAGGAGGCCCCGTCCTCTGCAGAGTGACCCCTCTCACTTTGGAGCCAGAGCTCTGGTCTCTGTTGGAGCAGAAGAATAAAGAGGATGTGGGGGAGGGGGGAAGGTCACCTCTGAAGTCAGCTGGCCCTAAGCCTCTGGTCTGAGGGACCGTCCCCGGCCTTGGATTCCACCCTCAGCAGAGCTGTGGCTCCTGTCGTGTGAGGGTGGCTCTGGGTGACCAGCGTGGGCCCAGCCCCAAGAGAGTTTCCTTATCAGGAAGGGGCAAGAGGACCAGGAGGGCTTCCAGGAAGACATGTTGGGAGCTGGTGGCCCTGAAGGCGGCGTTGGGGAAGAGCCCTGGGTCCTCACTGTCCCCACCGCCCGGCCTGGAGCCCGCTTCCCTCCCCCCGTCCGGCCTCCCGAGCGTCCACTTCCTGCGCGGCACCCGGTGCGAGAACCTGGCCCGGGTCCACCTCACTGCCTCAAAGCCCAAGTGCCCAGCAGGCCGACCGGGCTCTGTGGGACCAGGACCTGTCTTCTTCCTGCCCCTCCTCCCTCGCCTGCCTGGCCCCAGAGTCTCCCTGAGGCTCCCTAAACCCTGCTTCCCCCACTGCGGCCTCCCTGAGCCTCAGATGGCCCAGGCACCCGGCAGGCCCTCAGGCCGGGCACTGGACGCCTGTGCTTTGAGATGTGGAAGCTGGGAGAATCCAGGGCGGCTCCCTGGAGGAGGTGTTAGACCAGGGAAACAAGCCACAGGAGGGAATGGATGGAATAGAGAGCCCAGGGCAGAGGGGCTCAGACCAGAGGGAAGGGGCCCAGGCAGCCTCTTCACCGCCTCAAAGTGCTTTAAGCACCCCCTGAGGCCTGGAAATGTCTATCTAGGTGTGACCGTGCCCCAGGCAGGCCATGCTGTGAGGCTGTAGAGCCAGGCACACCTGGTTATGGCTGGGGACAAGTCCCTGAACAGTGCTGGGCCTCAGTTACCTCATCTGTGAAGTGGGGTGGGGTATAATGGCAGCATCTACCCGGGGGCAGGCGGGTGCTAAGTGCTTCACACACAGTGGCTAACTGAGCCCTCCCCGCCCCTCCACCAGCAGCCGGACAGGCTCTGAGGATTCCTGGTGGCTGGTCCTGCCCGTCCCCACCTGGTCCTCGGGAGCACTCAGCCCTGAGGGTTGCCAGTGATTGGCCCCGTGGGGCCTTGTTCCCCTCATGCGGGGAGTGCAGGCCCCGGGTCCTTCAGGATGCTGACGGGGCCCGAGTCAGGCCACCCCCAAGCCCTGACC